ATTTAGTTATTAAAAAAATTAAAAGGAGGGGGAGGGAAAGAAAAAATTTACTTTCTTTTATTATTATTTTTTAAATTTAGTTAGTTATTTAAATGAGGGGAAATAAGGGAAGGAAAATGCAAAAAAAAAATGAAAAAAATAATTCTTTTCTTTTTTCTCTTCATTCTCTTCAACCCAAATATAGGGTTAAAGAAATTCTCTTCAACCCAAATATAGAGTTAAAGAAATTGAAGAGACCTGAACGAAAGTAAAGAGCTATCCTGGGGATTTGGAGGGGAAAAATTATTAAGTGTCCAAGAATTGGTGTTTATATTTTCCACTACCTTGTGCAATGAAGACTGCTTTCTTTGGAAATCTACATGTTTAAACACGTGTATACCACATATCAAATACCCTATTGGAAAGAGGAAATTTATGCAGAGTTGAAAGATTTGGTATAATATAAAAGTTTATGAGAGTCCAAAAAAATCAAGACGTTCTAACGCTTAAGATATTTATCATAATTATTTGTTAGGTGAGTTTCAAAAGTAGAATTTATTTAATGGATGACTATAATAAACGTAATGTCCTGAGTATTAAGATATCTTGATTTTTATAATTATAAAAATTTATTCTTAATTTCTTATCGTGTTATAAGACTCCTAGTTTGCTTATATTTTTAATTTTAAAATGCCCCTTGTCAATGGTCCTTATGATTATTGTAGAGGGATGACATTGCTCGGTACTTCTGAAATTTTTTATTCCCAACAACCAATATTACATTATTGATGGCGTCTTCTTCTTCCCTTCTTCTTTTTTTTTTTTTTTTTTTGGGTATTAAGTACTGTGGGTTTGTCATTTATCATTATGCGGATTTTGTCCGGTATACCAGATCGATATAAAAAGATGGGTTCAAACAGATCATGGAAAGCCCAAAATCCATGGGTTTAAAATTAATTGGATAATTAGAAGCCCAAAATAAATGGTTGGGCCTTGACAGAAGCTCAGTTTTATATTCTTTTGGACTTGCAAAGTTCCTAATTTTAAAGGTTTCCTATAATTTTAACCATGTAATTACTACATGTGGGAATTTAGTTGTTTCAAACTTTTAATTGGTAAGAATTGGAGACAAAAGGTTAGTGAGAGACATGGAGAATACGATAATTTTTTTTATTGTATACTCTATCATCAAACATCTATCCAAAAATAATTACAAAATTTGTACCTTTTATTGCAAGCTCTTTAGTACAGTAGTATGATTCTCGCATCTAAATTTATCAAAGTTTAATTACCCACCCCAAATGTCGAAAGAAAAAATCAATGAAAAATTTTAGGGAAGGTGGAAAGATAACTACAATTTTCAATTCTTGTTATAGATGGAAAGGAGTTACTGACCTAAATTGAACTCAAAAGTTGAAAAATTACTAATTAAACTCTTAAATTTGGGATATAAACCATATTAAGATAAAAGAATTTAATGATACATATGTGGAAGCTGTGATCAAAAAAGACCATAATTCCATGCTTCAAGATCTTCAAGAGGTTGAATAAAATCTTGTCTACTGGATCGAATTTTACCTTTAGGAAGGGGTGGAAGATTAGATAGCCTCACCGAATTATCCTCTACAACCTCGCTGGAATTCTTACATGAAAAACTAAACTTGATCTTCCTTACTTTCAACCCACCATTTTTCTTACTCTCACTTGCCAACTTACCAATATTTCTAACGGTTTTGGTGCATTCCTTGTAAGCTGCAAGAAAGGGATCTTCTCTTCTCAACCTCAGGCCTTTTAACGATGTGTTTCTGCTAGGAGTTGGAGACTGCAATGATGGGCATGGAGGCGGGAGTGGCAATGATTGTGTTGTTACTGTTGGGTTAAGGGCATGTAGGGGAAGGTCAGGATGGGTGGCCTTGGCAATCCCAGGCTTGTCTTCCCAGGAAAATGCTATGCTTCCTTGGGAATTAACCTTTCTGTGACTCATTTTGGACATGGTGAAATTGACAATGTGGTTGTTAATTATCACAAGATGGATCCAGGTGCAGATATATGATACATCTCAACAAGAAAGCAAATAATTAACTTGGAACTCAAGTTGGTTTTGCTTCCAAATGAAGATGAAGTAAAATTATGAAAGTGAGGAAAATATCACCAGATTCGTTGAAGTATTGTTTCGATTTTCTGTCAAAGGAGTTAAAAAGGTATTCATGTGGTAGTTAATTCTTTCTTTTTTACTTATCAACAAGGAAATTTTGGGAAAGGGGTAGGTTTTTTTTACAACAAGAAGACTTGAACTCGGTGTAATTGCACGAATCAGCTCTATAGCCCTCACACCGTGTGGTCGGACCATAGAGAAGCAGGTTCACCCCAATGCATCTACTGCTACAAGTGTTATGTACTTAAGTAATTATAACCATGACCTCAACAATTTTGGTCCAATTTTAAAAATACTACGTATTAGGAGAGTTCAAAGCTCGTAGGATGATTAGGTTTTGAAGTCATTTTAACGGTTGGTGCATGGATCATTCTGGTTGGTGGTTGGACTTAAATGGTTAATTTGATCATTACAACCAGATAACAACACATGGAGTCCGCTATAAGCGACAATTATTGATTAGACAGACCAAAGATGCAATGCAGTCAACGAAATGGAAATTTGACACTGTTTTTGGCGGCTTGGTGTCGCCTACAAATTACTTATGTACTACACAATGGCCATGACATTACCTTTCCTCTTTGGGGGGGGAAAAATAATGAAAAGGCAATGATTTTTTTTCCTTTTTGTCTGCGCTTAGTATTAATAGAAGTAATGATATATGATAAAATGGGCAATGATTTAGACCAAGCTAATACTTTCAAATTCGCTCGGTATTATTTTACCCTCCCTTTTATTATAGTGATCCATCATGTGCTATCTATATTATATGTCACCTTTTGCATCTCATATTAAATTTTACCTTTTTAGTTTAGTTAAAGATAAACTATTTACACTAAATTTTAGTAATTCACAAAGATTTACCTCCCTTAATTTTTTTTTTTTTTATAGAAAGTATAGTTGTATTAATAATTGAAAGATAACTATAATATAGACTATACCTTGCCATATAGGTTGAACAAGAAAAATAAAAATGCTAAGAAGGACCTTTGACACTAACATATAAAGTTAAGTGTTTCATACAAATAAAAACAATTAGGAGGAACCTTTAAATATTAGTATATGTCATATGGTTATCAATAGAGCTATTTAATAACATAAAAAGATTATAACAATCACATCTATTTTACCACCCAAATCTAACATAGGAGATTAATGGACTTGGCGATGTAATGTCTCCTAGCATTATAATACTCTGTCTATCCACAATTTATTTTTAACCAGCAAATGGATGGAAGTATCCACTTGTATGACCAGAGTAGTGCCCTTGACACCATCCACCTCCTCAAGAATCACAACCACCCCTATATTATTTAAATTCACCTTCTTAACCCATTGTTCCTCCAAAATTGTTGTACTACTCTTTCTTTTTCCTTGGTTAGGTTTGTCCATAGGCACCAAGGGCCCCACCTCATGTCCTACTTTTTTCCATTTGCCCTTGCCTCCTTTTGCACCATCCTTTTAACTTCTTGATTGTTTAACAGCACCTAACCCAAAGGCTAAAGGTACCTCTACTACTAATCATCCATCAAAGCTGACAAAATATCAGCACTTTCCGCATTCCTTGCAAGAGCCATTTCTCCAATGGTAGTAGCAAGAGGTTGGGCCGTTTCAACTACAGTTTCACCCATAACAATAACATTATTCACTCCCACTTGGCTTGCACTGATGGTTACAAAATTATCTACGTATATATCTCCAGTAGTAGTATCCTTGTGCCCCTCTATTTAGCTTGCTCCGTTACCCACAGGCTCATAATGTTCCTTGTTCCCTTCAGTCTTATCTCCAGCTAGAAATTGAGTACTTTCAGAAAAAGTTTCATCTAAAAAATCAAAATCATCTAGGCACCATGAGTTTTCCAATTAAGCTTTTAACCAAGACCTATATCGACAAACAATTTTGCCCTCAACATCTTTGATACAATTTGCAATTTCACAATCATTTTCAAGATGGCCCGTGCATCCACAAACAAAACAGAATTCTGGAAGTCCTTCATATTTGATCCCGAGTTTCTTATTTTCCATAGTAGAAATTTGAGATGTTTTAAATATTCTTAATGGCTTATTCACCTCCAAATCAATTATAACTCTAATAGCCTTACAAAAACTTTCATCCAACTCTAGAACCTTCCCTAAGGAACTCTCAATCATGAATCCAACTTGTTCTAATTGCATATCAATAAGGACATCAAAGATTCGAAACCAAAATGAATTTGTAGAAAAATTATATTACTCTATAGTTAAAGAAGCTTGAAATCATTTGTGCATTATTAGTGAGTTGCTAAAATTCCAAGGTCCTCTATGTAGGATTTCATTGAGATCTCCAATATCAAAGAATTGGAATAGATAGATCTTTTCCCCAATCTCAAAAATTGTAAGAGCCTTCCTAGGGTTCCATGAGACAATTAAAACATTATGGAGGCCATTTAAATTGATCCTTTTTTGGGAAAAGATCTTGCCCACTAAATGCAACTTTTCCACCTTGGAGTCATCTGGTTTCCAAACTAAGAGCAAGGAAAAGATGCCATCTTCATCCTCTATGAGACAAATGCAATTGAGCATGGATCCAATTTCTTCATCTACCATTCTTATTGACATCAGAATAGCAACTATTCCCAAACCTAGAATATTTGAACCACCAATCCGTAACCACCCTAACAAGTCGCAATTGCCCTAAGAGTCCACAACCACTCTAGTAATCCGTAGCCACCTAGCAGCCAATTTTTAATCTTTCCTCTAGATCTAGAATAACTAAACCAAAGCAAAAGGAAACTAAAGGGAAGCAAGGGGAGGGGCAGCAAGAAGAACAATTGTATGCAATAGAGAAAGGAAAGAGCTCCTAAATTGAAGATAAGACCCAAAGGAGAAGCCCACGACCTTCAAAACCCTAACCCTAGGAATTTTAGAGCCCAGAAGTCCTCCCTTAATTTATTATTAAAACAAAGTTTCACCTATATTTTTTCTTTGCACAAATTGTGTTAATATAATTACAACATTACCTAGGATTATAAACATACAATTGTGATATGTAATTTAAATGAGTAAATACATATATTATCATAAATAAATTCTTAAATAAAAAATTAATTATATAATAATATCAAAATTATGAATTAATATTATAACGATATGATTCTGGTTCCTCAATTCAAAGCGTTAAAGCTATCACCTATACATGAACAAGGCCTGAATCAGTCCATTCTGAACAGGGCCTGGATCTAGTTGGATTTTACATGGGCCTTAACCTTAGATCTCAATTGGATCCATCCTAAACCATACTCCAAAGTCAGAAAGACATTAAAGTCGCTTCATTCTAGTCTTCGGTTCCCTTGGCTTCAAATTAGGGTTTTGCAGTTATAAAACCTAACCCGCCGCGTCAACACTCTGCCTCTCAGCCCTCTCTTCCTTCTCAATTTGTTTGAAGAAATCACGGTTTTTTCTTACGTTTTTCTCAAACCCTTTTGGGTGATTTCAAGGTATACATGCGGCAATGAGGACCCATGACATTTCTCGATTCTGATTTCCACAGATAAGGACCAAAGCAATTATATGAATGTATAAATTGCTTCCTGATGAGCTTTTTGTGCGTGTCTGAGCCTGCAATTTTTTTGTTTTGATTGTGTTATTTTTAAAAAGTTGTTTTCTTTGGAGAAGTGGAGTTTGCTATGATTATAAAATAATTCCTCGTTCTGAATGCTCCATTGGGCATGACAGACTCCTCATACACCCATAGAATATGAGCATCTCCATTCTCCACTCCCAAGTTTTCTTCTTTCTTCAGTTTCTGCATCTGGATTTTTTCCCCCCACTCCAATTTCAGCTATATATGTGTTCTTTTGTTTTGATATGTTTTTGTGATGCATTCAGTTTCTTCGACTTTGGTGATTGAACTTGATTTGTGAATTGGAAGTTGAGATCAATAATTGAAGTTCTAGACATTACAGATGACAGAGACTCAGTTGTCTAAAACAATTGAAGAATGAAGAACAAATAAAGATTGGAAATTGGAATGGCGTGAGAAATTGAGTAAAGAAACAGTTTTGATTTTTGATTTTTCTGTTTCTGTGGACATCACTTGTTCTCAAAATCAATTTTGCCTGTGCGGCTGTGCTCTTAAAATTTAGTGAAGCAAGCATCCTTCCATAGGGAAGGTCAGGAAAAAAATTCAAAACGAAAGACTGGATTTTGATTTTGATTTTTGTTAAAATTTGAATCAAATCAATTTCGAGTTTTGATTATTTGGTCTAAAAACTGAAAAACTATCATTAAACTAAAAAGAATTGTTACTACTCTCTTGACTTAAAATAATTATCATTATTTATTAATTATTTTTATTTCTTTTTTATTTATATATATATATATATATATATGGCATTAGCCCATAACGAGGAAATGGTAAGCGAAAGAGGTAAGCGAAATGGATATTAGAAGATTTGTGGAATTTGGCAAACAATTAGGGCTTTGTTTTGTGGGAAATGAAGAGCTCTTTGCATCAAAATTCCACGAATTAGAGGAACATGATTTGAGGCATCATTTGCCTTAGATCCTTGCTGTCTCCACCACCAGTATTTTTCTATTAATGAAGATTGTCACATTTAATACTCGCGGGCTTGGGAACAGCATCAAGTGAAAAGAGTTAGGGAGTATGGTTCAGCAAGAGCATGTAAATTTCCTGATGATTCAAGAATCAAAAGTTGAAGTTGCTAATGACCAGTTATGTAGATCAATTTGGGGGCAAGATTGTGTCGAGTGGTGTGCAAAAAGTTCGGATGGAAGAGCTGGTGGTCTCCTCTGCTTATGGGACCCTAACCTATTCGAAAGGATTAAGGTGTTCGAAGGCGATGGCTTCTTGGGTGTTGAGGCATCGTGGGGGAAAAACAAATCAAAATGCTGCTTTTTGAATGTATATGGTCCCTGTAATGTGGCTGGTCGTGCAAAACTGTGGGAAGATTTATCCAGATTGATTGAGGCTCAAAATTGTTTCTTTTGTATTGGTGGTGATTTCAATTATGTCAGGGGATCGCATGAAAGAAAAGGTAGAATGACTTCTCAACCTGGCTCTGGAAATTTCAATTTATTTATTGAATCAAACTACCTTGTAGATTTACCCCTTTCAAATAGGAAATTTACTTGGTATAAGAGCAACGGGTCTGCCCAAAGTAAATTGGATAGATTTCTTCTTTCAAAGAATTATTTGGAATTCTGGGGCAATTTTGTTCAACTAGCATTAAAAAGAAGCATTAGTGACCATTGTCCTATCAGCCTAAGCTTGAACAACCATGATTGGGGACCCAAACCTTTTCGATCTATAAACTGCTGGACATTGCACCCTAACTTTAAGCCAATTGTTGAGAAATTATGGAAGTCCTTGGAAATTGAAGGATACTGGGGATTTAAATGCAAGGAAAAGATTAAAAAGCTTAGGCAGCACCTAAAGACATGGAACAAGGAAGAGTTTGGCAATGTTGACAATCAACTTGAAGAGGCAATGAAGAAAATTGAAATTGTTGATTTTAGATGTGAAGCTTAAGATCCTTCAGATGATGATATTCTCAAAAGAAAGGATGGCTTTGAAGAAGTATGGTTCTGCCTCAAGAAGAAAGAAAGTTTATGGCGACAGAAATCCAGGGCAACTTGGATCAAAGAGGGGGATGCGAACACCGGTTTTTTCCACAGAATTGTTAATGGTAGAAGAAAGAAGAATATGCTCTGGGGGATTGACAACCATGGCTCCTGGATTGATGACCCTATACAATTGAAGCAAATTATTATGGATCACTTTAGAAACCAACTTTCTTCTCAATCTTGCCAACAACCAAGACCATACTTGCAACACCTGCAATTCAGCAAATTAAATGAAGAGGATAAGATTACGTTGGAAGAAGAATTTTCAAATGATGAGATCAGAGATGTTGTTTTCTCTTGTGCAAGTGACAAAGCTCCAGGGCTTGATGGTCTGAACTTTCATTTTGTCAAGACAATTTGGGGTACAATTGAAGGGGATGTTATCAACTTCATCAAGGAGTTCCATCAGAATGGGAAGCTGGTAAAAGGCCTTAATTCATCTTATATTATGTTAGTCCCTAAAAAGAAAAATCCCACATCCTTGAAGGAATTTAGGCCGATAAGCATGGTTGGGTGCCTATACAAAATCCTGGCTAAGGTGCTTGCTAACAGACTCCAGAAAGTAATCGGCAAAGTGATAAGTGTAAGTCAATTTGCTTTTCTAAAAGGAAGGCAACTTGTTGACAATGTATTAGCCCTTAATGAGCTTGTTCCAGACATTAAAAGTAAGAGAAAAAAGGGTGTCATCTTAAAGCAGACTTTGAAAAGGCATTTGATATTGTTGACTGGAGCTATTTGGATACAATGCACTATTTACTGGGATTTGGTGAAAGTTGGCGAAGTTGGATCAAAAAGTGCTTATTGTCTACTTCTATTTCTGTTCTTGTTAATGGAAGTCCAACACAAGAATTTAATATGCAGAGAGGACTAAGACAAGGAGACCCTCTCTCTCCATACTTATTTCTTATTGCTGCTGAAGGCTTGTATGCTCTTCTCCTTGAGGCAGAGACAAAAGACATGCTTAAAGGGGTAATGGTTGATGAGAATACTTCAGTTTCTCACCTTCAATTTGCTGATGACACTGCTCTCCTCTGTGGGGCTTCTACTAATTCTGTTTGGGCTATCAAATGTACATTGAGATGGTTTGAGATTATGTCTGGCCTCAGAATTAATTTCAATTAAAGCATTCTATATGGGATTAATGTGGATGAGGAATGGCTTAGCATGGCAGCCTTGGCCTTGAATTGTAAAGCTGGGAAATTACCTTTTACTTACCTTGGGCTCCCTATTGGTGGTAACCCACATCGTCATAGCTTTTGGAAACTGGTGGTTGCAAAGTTCCGATCTAAATTGGCATCTTGGAAGGGCAAGCTCTTATCATTTGGTGGCCGTATCACGCTTCTCATGTCAGTACTCTCTGCTCTCCCACTCTTTTACTTCTCTGTTTTTAAGGTTCCAAGTGGCATCCTAAAAGAACTTATTAGAATTCAGAATAACTTCTTATGGGGTGGTTTTGATGAGAGTAAAAAAATTGTTTGGATTAGTTAGAGTAAGGCCACTCTAGCTAAATCTAAGAGAGGTCTTGGTATCCCAAACTTAGCCATTAGTAACATTGCCCTCTTAGGAAAATGGTGGAACAAGTTTTATAATGATGGTGAAAATGAAAAGCTATGGAAAAAGATTGTTATTAGTAAATACTATGCTGGTTCTACATCAAATCTTATCTATAACACAATGTCTTCAAGATTATCTTCTCTTTGGAAGGATATTTTATCTATTGACAAGGTATCCGATAGAGCAACCATGTGCTTTTCAAATGGCTTCACACATCAGCTTGGTGATGGCTCTAAAACCAGCTTTTGGAAGGATATTTGGCTGGAAAGCTCTCCTTTAAAGCATGAATTTCCCCGTCTGTTCAGCCTCACTTTGGACAAGGAATTGCTAGTTGCTGATTTGAAACCAACCAATAGAGAGGGCTGGAATCTTTAATGGCACAAATCCCCTTTTGGAAGAGAACTGGATGAACTCGAGATATTAGAAGACATTCTTCGAAGTGCTATTTTAATTGAAGGCAAGGCAGATAGAAAAATTTGGAAGCACTGCCCCTTAGGATACTCTGCACAATTGGCATACTTGTTTCTTGATGTGTCTCCTCCCATCCTTGATGAGAATATTTGCAAGTTAATATGGAATCCATTGATGCCTGCTAAAGTTAGTGTCTTTGCCTGGCGCCTCTTTTTAAATCGCCTCCCCACCAAGGATAAACTCATACAACATGGCATTCATTTAGTATCCAGCCCAGCATGCATTCTATGTGATAATTATATGGAAGATGCAAACCATGTCTTTGCAAAGTGCAAATTTTCTCAAAATCTTTGGAACCATGTATGCAGCTGGTGGGGACTGACGTTTAACCATACTAATAACATCTCCCATCTACTTCTCCAGCTTTGCTCACTTTCGATCCCAAGGAAAGCACGATAGTGTTGGATTCTCATTATTTTTACAACAACTTGGGCCATTTAGTACTGCAGAAATGGTATTATTTTTAACAAACGTTCTTGGGATGAGAATAATATTATAAACTTAGTGCAGGTTAAGACCTTTGCTTGGATTAAAGGAAGCTTGAAATCTGCTAGTTTTTGTTTAAGTGACTGGTGTCAGTTTCCAATCCCATGTGCAGTCCAGTCCTAATTCCCTTCCCCTTGTTGTGTATTTTCTTGATCTAATGGGTGAGTACCCCTTGTACTCATTCTCTTAATAAAATTTTGATTTATCAAAAAAAAAAAATAACGAGGAAATGGTATAATCCACGAAGTTGCACGCCTTATTTAAAGGAAGTTTAGTGGAACTTAATATTGTTTTATCAAAACTTACTTAAAAGTTATTTTAAAAATTAATTTTTAAATTTTCCTCAAACAAATTTTTAACTATGTGAGAGAGTAATTTACTTTTTAAACAATTTGCTTTTCAAGCTTCACCAAACTCCCTCTTAGTCACTCAAATAGCTAATTAAAATAATGAATGAATATTAATGTTGTTAATTCAAAAACAAATAATACAGGTAAAATGAAAATATATATATATATATAATAATTTGGATTTTGAGTTTAATTTTTGAACCTCAAATTAAAGTTGAAACTATAACCACATGATCAATAAAGTCTAATGAGAATTAAAGAAATTTCTCAATTAGGGTGGCTGCCTGGCTGGGTCCAACCCAAAAGAGTTGTTGGGAGTAGGTAGAGATAGTTAACCCATAACGAATCACCTCAAAACAAGCATGCTTGGAGTTGTCTTTAGCCTTGTCTCTTCCTTTCTTGGATTGCAAGTTATAAAACTCTCTAAAACAAATTAAGGGCATATAGATATAGCCATGCATATGGCAGATCGCAGATACAAAAGATTTGATGCCGATATATACAAATACATTTATTGCGAATCAACATGGAGGAGCAAGTGGCAAAAGCCACAATGCATCCAGTGGATTGGCGATTGGGTGTAGGCTTCGAACCCATTCCACACTTGTAATTTCATCCCCTCTCCATCCCCCACAAGCTAGCCACAATTGTAGTTATACACACACACACATATATATATTAGGACGGACGGGGAACAAATCTAAGTGTAACATAAACTTCATTTAGACGCCGTGTAAGTATGCATTTAAGTCCTTATATTTAACACGTTTTCATTTTAGTCCTTCAATCTGGGAGGGTGTTGACATGTTCTTTCTTACAAAACCTTTAAATTGATTTTAATTTATATTTTATATATTTTTTTTAATAATTATCTATCTACATGACACTTTTTCAAAATAATTATCAAAAGCTAAAATAGCTTTTAAACTAGTTCAATACAAGAAAAGCAGCAGCCACATGCGGCAAAACCATAAATGGGTCAAGAATATATAATAAGGCTCTTTAATTTTTTGAGGTTATTGTAGTGGGGCTCGTGTCCAACCATGGTAGAACCGTTTTGCCAGTAGCGATCACAACAAGACGCCAATCTTGAACCCATTCCTTTCACTAAAGATAAGCTTTGTTGATAAAAAGTGGTATACCGATTGAATTAAGATTCCACTTCTTCAGTCTTCACTTTCACACTAACAGTGGTCCAGAACTTTCACACTAATAGTGATCCAAAACTTTCAAAATCTGATTACTAGCTCTTGATTTCCAACTATCCTTATCCCCCAACTCTACTAAGTAAATAAAAAATAAAAAAATTATATATATTCTTTTAGACTTTTAAAGGTTCTGAATACTTTCGGTAGTGAGCAGGCACACATATGGAACATGTGATCTAAGGAACTTTGCTGCAGCTCCATAGAACAGGGAACTTGCTCGAACTACGATAACCAGAATATGGGCTGGGTGGACCAGGTCGGGGACTTATAGCAGGTTTAATTT